GTAACTTTATATCAAAATTGCACTGGAAGTGTCAAATTTTACAAACAAGGGGCTGAGAATGTAATTTTCTGCAAGAACTAGGCTATAAATGTCAAAATATAACTTTTGGACTAAATCCGTGAAATTCCAAACATTTGGGACAAAATTACAAATTTTTATAAATTATGGACTAAAGTATTATTTTTACAAAACTTTGGGCCTTAATTAAAATTTTGAGGGTTATTGGCCAAAAACGTTGTTTTTACAAAAAAAAAAAAAAAAAAAAAAAAAAAAAAAAAAAGAGGATTGTATATCATCAATTTGGTAAACCTCGAGCTAAAACAAACAACGAAACAATAACGAATTGATGAAATACATCGATAATTATTTTATTGGGCCTAATATTCACATTACATGGCCAATGGGTCTTAAGGGCTCATTCAAGTGTATATTGAGCCCAATAGTTTTCCATGATATGTTTATTGGGCCTTGTGACCCATTTACATGTTAATTTGGGCCTGAGTTATAGGTTACATGTTTGTTGGGCCTTTATGGTCCATTTACATGCCTATTGGGCCTAAATTACCCTCTTACGTGTTATTGGACCTTTGTGGTCTATTTACATGCTAATTGGGTTTGGACTAAGATTCACAAGATTAGTAGATTGTAATTATACGTTTACATAATTCATGAACTTCGTATACTTATATACATACCTTTGGAATTGAAAATCCACAACATACACGTAAACATTAAACATGGTGAAAAACGTAGCGAACAGGAAAGGTTGAGAATCTAATGAGACATGTCGGTTGGCACCTTTGAGTGTACAGTCGTAGCATGTAGTTATAACCAGAGTTTACTGTAGGGAAAGCGGGAGTTTGTGTATAGATCTATACGGGGTGACCCTCTACGCCTTAGCTGTTCGCTACAGCTAGACTAAGCAGTCTAGGGCAACAAAACCCTGAGCCAATACCGGCGTTTGGAAAATGCCAAGACAGGCGACCTAATCATTATCATGCATGGTTATAACGGCTCATATAGAGATCCAATACCAATTTAACATATCGAAGATTAACTCTTCGATTGTGTCAATACGAAACAACTTAATTAATGATACAAGAACCTCAACATCGTTATAAATCAGAAAATATCAGATTTTATGAGGAAATATTATTATTCCATTATCAATGAAATGATCAGATGGAAAAGGAAGCGAACTTAGCAATTGAAAGCTTGGATCTTGGATTTTGAAGAAAGAAGGATGTTGCTGCACAGCTTAACCCCTTGTCAGTGTTTTGGCCATATCTCATGAACCGTAACTCCGATTGACGAGATTCAAAATTTTCTAAAAACTAGACACAATTTCAGACGACTTTCGTGTTTTGAAAAAATGTTGATTTCAAACGGACTCGACGAGTTGATCAGAAAGTTCGCGATTCTCAACGATGACTTGCCGTACACGAGATTTTAAGTGATGGACTCGCCGTGTCGGTCACTGGACTCGCCGAGTCGCCCCTATTTTTAGAATATATATATATATATATATATATATATATATATATATATATATATATATATATATATATATATATATATAAACGCTTCTCATTCGAACCCTAACGAATGGGGGAAGTTTAGGACGATTTTTGGAGGCCATAATGGTTTTTAGAAGCTGTAGTTTTCGAGATTTCAACTTAGATATCAATTTGAAAGAAGATCAAAGGCAATAACACATTACTTTTATCTTAATCTTTTGAATGAACCATTTTTCAATCATTAGATTATGTTTTTAGTTTGTTATTTGTTGTAGGTATGAGCTAAAAACTCATAACTTCTGTTTAGTATAGATGATTTTATGAATATGGTTTGATTTTATGATTAGATTAATTTAATTTGGTGATTTTGTTTTGTTAAGCTTGTTAAAAAACATTATGTGTTAATTACAACTGTTTTTTGTTAATTAACCAGTAATTAAGTTGCATGAACATCTCTTAGTTGCTAATCTGATATGATTTATGTGAAAACATTGTAATATGCCTAGGAATAGCGAACGTGAAACTATGGTTAACTAGAAAATAGGTACATATTTTCTAGTTAATGTGTGAGCTTGTGTGATGGGCCATCAACAAGGAGTTAATTGAATTAGCATATTTGATTATGCTCATTACAAGTCTTACTTAACCTGAATCAATAAACTAGGAAATCTATTAGTTTAATCACTTGATCACTGATTGAATTAATTTGTTTTCTAAGGATTAGTAATAGCGAACGTGAACCTAATCACACTAATTGGTAGCCAAAGCCAATTAATCCATTGCACTTGCCATAAAATCAACTATAGGAATAAATTATTCAAACCTAAACAGAAGTCTCCTCCATTATTGAATCTAGTTGTCTTTTGTTTCTACTTAGTTGTTAGTTGTCCTTTGTTAAAGAGTTTAAGTAGTTGTTTAAGTTTCTAGTCTTGTAAAACTAGAGAAAAACCCTTCTTTTTACTTGTTTTATTTAGTTGATATTTGTAATAATCTTAATTGTTTACCGTTCCCTATGTTCGATACCCTACTTACCTAAACTAAGCTGCTAATCGATAGGTACATTGCATTTCGTGTGTTTGTTTCTATGTCTAAGTTAGTAGGATTAAAACTAGTTCGTTTCACACACATCAGTAAGCATATTTGTAGTGTCTGACGGAGGAACTTGTTCCCTGGAAATAACAATAGTTCGCTAATGTGTCACCAATCGTGGAAAGAAATGAAAATAATTATTTTATAAATTGTTGTATCTGTTTTTATTTTGTTGACGTCAATATGCATGAAAACCACGAACTCACTAAACCTTAGGCTTACCCATTAAAATCTTTAAATGTACGCAACTCAGGAAATAACGTAGCAAGTGGCAACAAGAATGAGAAGGATAAAGCTCAGACTTGAAGCAGACGACAAGTTTTGAAAAAGACGTAACGCACAAAGTGTTTATTTAATTTTTTATTTGCTTCCGCTATAATTAATTAATAACCTTAGTGTTTGAATTTTCGAATTTTAGAAGTTTTTGAGACCATGTTAAGATAATATTTTTATTTGAAATTTAGGGTGTTACAACAACCATCATCTATCTACACCAATAATAGATTGCAAACCCCAAGCTCATCCCCATAGCATACCTAGACATTCATACACTCGTATAATAATATGAAGTAAAGATGATAACTCATGCCAATAGCTCAAACATGTATATAATTCATATAGTATCAAGCATGATGAAAAATTTTGGTCCTAACATAACTGTGTACTATCCTGTAACTAATTATATCATTTTTTTATATATAAAAAAGGATGAAATACAAATACTAAACTAAAATCGGTAATGTCCTTAAAAATTTGTTTTTTATTTAAAAAACAAGATTTTAAGAATTGTAATATCTACTTCTTATGGCCTACAAACATATGCTAGAATTATTTAAATAAAAAAGACCAAACTAATATATAATAATACAAGAAAGATTTTGCAAAGATGGCATAAGGATGTCAACATGTATTGAAATAGTATCTAAAGAATGTCAACATGTATGTTGATATAGTATCTAACAAGTTAAAAAGTACTATTTGTATTACTTCTTTGTATCTTACAAAATGATGCCATCATGTGTACATTTAAAGTTGCATGACCCCTATTCCCCTATATATAAATCAATCCTCTTATACTTTGAACAACATTGATACTCAAACTTACAATCTTGCACTAGGTGCATAGTGCATTAAAGTATAACTCATGTATTTATTATAGCATAGCCAAGTTTCATAATCTTCTCCTCGATATGGGCATGGTATTGTTGTGTAATATTTCAAATCCCATTTGTTAATCTAATTTCTTTTATATATATAATCTTTATATTCCTACTCATATTTGGCTAATACCAAAATTTCATTAACTTTTTTCAGGACTCAAACACTAATTTGGATATGGGCAAGAAACTATATTAATTAGTTCATTCTTTGATTCTCTTGTTATTCTTTTTCTTATTCACTTGTGGTTGAAACTATGTGAATGTGATAATGCATATACTTTGTACCACATATTTTAAATTTTAAAATATAAAATAAAATCTAGTTATGTATTGAAAAAAACTAAAATTGAAAAGGCAAAGGGTAAAGAGAGCATCAACATGCCATTCAATGTAGATAAAGAGAGCAATTCATACCACGACCACCTTATCCATCTATCATCATAGTATCATATCCTCCATCCTTTGCCATTCATCCATTACATTGCAAAACTCACCCTTTATTTTGAATTTTACAACTATAATATCATGTCATCTGTATTATATTTAAGTAGAAATAGCAAGAATTTTTTTTTTTTAAAATAGAAATAAAAAGATAGATATACTCATATACCACCTTATTCATATTCAATATTGGAATGTGTCATTGTCGTAAATCAACAAAACAAAAATCCATCGTACATTTATTTTCTGTATAATTTCTGAAAATAAAACATTGTACTCTAAATTTCACCTAATTAAAATGTTGTATTTTCATTTTATTTTTTTGTTAAGACATTATTTTTAAAAAGTGAACCACAAATCAGATAAAATACATTGTTATTTCTCTAAAGTATAAAAAAAGAACTACTTTTAGATACTCTATCTAGAAGGGTCTCATAATCTTTTCCTTGCAACCACACATCTACAATGGTAAAATACCATGATCAACTTCACATATATCATACATACATACATCCTCCATCCATCATCATCATCATACAATGGCTGCTTAGCGTTCAAACTTCAAATTAACGAACTACATTTGACAATAATATCAATTATCGTCTTCCAAAAACATGAATTTGATAATTCGTTTTATTCTCGAAAAAATTAAATTGAATTGATTTCAGAATTTGTTTGGATTTATGAAACTACATTATCAACGGAGAAATGTAATCAGAAAGTGTTGCAATTGTTATGAAATTTTGATGTGTTTTGTGGAATTAATCACAGGAGAGAATGGTGAGACCACAGTGGGTCCATCATCAATGGCGATGATGTGTTAGTGTGTGATATATGCATAGAACACCATAGATGTCTGTGACGAACTTTAAAATCATGGGCCCTGTACTTTTTTCCTTGAATCAAATTTAGTTTTTGCGTAAAATACAAAGCAAACGAAAAAACGAAAAACTGAAATGAAGAATAATGGATGATTATGCATGGATACGAAAACGTGTGAGTGATTTGGAACGCTCGTACCTGATCGGTTTATCTGAAGAATTTGTATAAATCCCCAAAACGAAATCTGAAATCAAGTAGTTTGGTTGAGTAATTGTTAACAATGTCGACCTCATCTGCTTTCGCCATTAACGCTCCCTGTTTCATCAATGCTTCTTCTTTGAAGAAATCATCTTCTTCGTCCAAATCTCCTTCATTTTCCGCTAGATTTACTTGCAATTCGTCATCATCGTCGTCATCGTCGTCGTCTTCATCTGCAACTCCACCCAGGCTCATCCGTAACGAGCCTGTTTTTGCTGCTCCTGCTCCGATCATCACACCGAAATGGGTACGTTTTCTGTTCTTGAGATGTGTAACTCTCTCACACATACAAATGCAAACTTAATCGAGAATATAGCTTTTGAGACTAGCAACATTATCACGCAAAATCAGAGTGTCCGCCATTAATGGAGGAATCCGAGCTTGCCGTTGTCGAAAAGTAATTTCCGTTTTAGGAAAAACCTAACAAATTCAAATCTAAGTAAATGAAGAATAAATCTCAATCGTCAACAAGCACAAAATGCAAAGTGAAAGCTTACATAGATCGAGAAATAAACGTTGTTAATGTTTAAACGCAGACGGAAGACATGGGAAACGAATCGTATGAAGACGCCATTGCTGCACTGAAGAAACTTCTAATGTAAGTCAAATTTTACATTCGATAACACTAATTGAATCATATCATTCATAACAAAACGATGAGTTTATGGTAATTCAACAGTGAAAGAGGCGAATTAGAACCAGTTGCTGCAGCCAGAATCGATCAAATCACAGCCGAACTTCAAACACCCGACGCCAAAGCTCCATTTGACCCGGTTGAGAGAATCAAAACCGGATTCGTCAAGTTCAAGAGAGAGAAATACGAGTAAATTCAAATTCAAACAAACTCTAAATCTTTTCAGCTTTATTTCTATGTAACATTATTTGATGCATGTGTGATGTGAATGTAGAACAAACCCTGCATTGTATGATGAACTTTCCAAAGGCCAGAGCCCAAAGGTAACAATGATTTTCTACCAAATGATATTTATCCCAATATGAAAGCAAAACCCACAAAATGAAATGATAAACAAATGTTTATATATAATTAAATGTACACATAACAAACTCATTAGTGATGATGTATATTATGTGATGTGTAGTTCATGGTTTTCGCATGCTCAGACTCGCGTGTTTGCCCCTCACACGTCCTTGATTTCCAACCCGGTGAGGCGTTTGTAGTACGTAACGTTGCCAACATGGTCCCTCCTTTTGACAAGGTCAGGTTATTGTTATTGTTCTTGTTACTGATACTGGTATTGTTACTGTTGTTGTTGTTGTTATTGTTATAAGAAATATTTATATATCAAGTTATTAACTATGGGTTTTATCTATTGCTTATAAAAACAGACTAAGTATGCTGGAGTAGGAGCTGCTGTTGAGTATGCAGTTTTGCATCTCAAGGTAATGTATACATTGAAAGCAGCGGATTATATTTATTGATAACGAATCGAAGTAGAATTTTTTTAAAGAAACATTTATTAAAAGGAAATGCATATTCTAGTATTTACAACATTCTAAATTTAACTCTTTCAAAAAAATAATTCTAAATTTGACTTACAAGAAAATTTGTATCATTACTTTTAATATTAGATTTTAAGGATGTGACAAAGTGGATTGAAGAACATGCAAATCAATCTATTAGAAACTTTATATCATTATTCCAATAATAGAATTTATGGATGTGACAAAATGGATTAGATTTTTTTTTTTTTTTTTTTATATTATTACTTTCGACCTTTACTCTACTTTTATACCTACATGTTCAAAGGAGGCATTTGGTAGAGACATTTTCATCAAATCCTGATATTCTTAGGCCATATTATATGGTTGTTCGTTTCATTGAATCAGTCTGATCCAATATAATCCGATTAAGTGAATCCTTGATTTTCAAAATTCAAATTTAAATAACATAAACTAAATTAAAATTTCATTCAAACCAACCAAATTACAATTTGATTTCTAGAATCATTAGTAAATGTAGACATGCAAAAAACTGATTTGAAAAGAGTTGTTTTCCTAATGTAACATATGAAATTATGTTAAATGCAAGATATTATTTCGGTTTCGGTCTAAAACAATCTATAAATCCAAATTTCAAAACCAAATTGTTCAATTACACCTTTAACCATGGCCTTTGGTCACAAAACGGATTAGATGATGACAAGACAGATTAGATAACATCATTGAGTGAGTTTGATGGGCCACCTAAGATTGGTTTGATTTGAAACATACTTTTAAAAGTTTATAAAAAGTTACTATATTAATATTTTTATAGCAATTATACAATTAAAATAATGATATGTTTTTTTCAATAAAACAATTTGAAAGGTTGTAAATATTGAAATACATTTTGATGACTTTCTATTTAATTTTTATTTATTTGTCCAAATTAACCAAATTTTTTGAAAATCTCAAATGCCACCTCTACTTAGATAATATTTGTAATAAATTCTAATGGTTGTAGGTAGAGCAAATAATCGTAATTGGGCATAGCCGTTGTGGAGGGATCAAGGGTCTCATGACTTTCCCTGATGAGGGACCTCACACCACGTAAGTTAATTGCTCCATAATATTAATTTAATTTAATTAAATTTTTTTTTTTAATTTTTAGTTTTATACAAAAAAAACATAATTCTATCATCTAAATTGTGAACAACCACAGCGATTTTATCGAAGACTGGGTTAAAGTATGTTCTCCTGCCAAGGCGAAAGTTGTAGCAGAAAGTGGTAGTTCAACCCTCGATGATCAATGTGTTAGCTGTGAAAAGGTAAACAATCACTTAGATCCTTTTTTTTGTTGTATGGAAATGTTTAAAAAATTATTATATATGAAAATGTCGACACACTTGACGAAATGAATGGAAATAAATCAATAATAAATAAAGTGGTATTTTTTTTTTTCATTTAAATTTAAAAATGTATGTCTAGATAAAATATGGGTGTCTCCATTATGTTTGTTTCTTTCCTATCTTTGGTAGACTACACTAAATTCCTCTAAATGAGACCAAAATTACCATCTTCCCGTTGCATCTTTTTAAAACAAATTTCACAACATTTATCAACTTTGAAATGAAGGGGTTTGGATGAACCAAGAAAGGTAAATAAGGAAATGGTAGTATTGTAATGCATTAAGCCAGGTTTTTGTGTTGAACATATTAAGTCATTTTGTTCATATTAAGTTAAAAAGAAACGAACGTATATAGTTGTCCAGATTAAGTGCTTAACTCATTAAGCCTATCACATCAAACAAAAACCACCTTTAATATCTTTTTTTTTCTTAAGTTCGTTAAGTTGAAAACAAACAACACTTTAATGAATCTTGGATATGCAGGAAGCTGTGAACGTATCGTTGGGACATCTACTGACTTACCCATTTGTAAGAGATGGATTGGTGAAGAAAACACTAGCACTAAAGGGTGGTCATTACGATTTTGTTAATGGAACCTTTGAGCTATGGGGACTCGACTTTGGCCTTTCACCTCCTACCTCTGTATGAACGAGTTAAATATCTTTTCCTTCATTACTCTTTTGTATATCGAATAATAAAAAGTTGTCAATTGTTATTATTATTTCGTTAAATAATATATATAATATTCAAGTGGTTACTATATATATTTTGCCCCTTTCTTCCTTTGCTAGGTAAAAGATGTTGCCACTATACTCCATTGGAAGCTCTTCTAAGAGGGTGGGATGAAGCTTATGAGGTGGTTATGTAGAAGTCCATTTTTATAACAAAACTATAACCTTGTAAACCCGATCATAAATTAAATAACAACATATATTTCGGTTAATGGTATCAAACTTATATGCTATGTTATGGAAGTTCGAATTAAAAAAAAAAATAGCCAAACTATTTTGTGAATAAACAAAATATTATCATCACAATTAACAAACCACAAATTCCCATTTATTTATTTTTACACAAAATTTGAAGTAAAAGCATACAACAACAATAGAAAATGGAACCCCAACTTTAATGTTCCTATGTTTCTATCAAACCATATTTAAAAATCCAAATTAGGCATCAAGAAGGAATTCAAGTGAGAGTGATTTCTTATTCCGATTTCGGCCCGCATCCCCAAGAAGCTCTGCTAGTCTCCGCTTCTCATCATCCACATCCGGATTCGCAGTTCCAAGCTTCTCCTCTCTCATCCCAACCACATATTCAAGTATCTCAATCGCATCGTCCCATCTACACACGTCAAATTGTTAACTTTATTTATATCTGAATTATTCGACTGTATATCACACAGGTCAAGATTGGACAAGAATTAATAAACTTCATAAGATTAATTTCGATAATAATTGTGTGGAGGGCAATTACATCGTTTGAACAAACGAGAGATCAAGAGTTGGTCTGTGTCCCAACTTATTCCACTTTTTCAATGGAATAAAATATTCTAATTTTTGTATCGTAGTATAATTTGTAACGTCATATTTTACCTAACAAGCAAGGCCTTAAGGCCTTGTTTTTCACAAATGACTAGATAGATTATACTGCATTTGACATACGCTCTAACCGATATCAAAGATACAAACATGACAATCTTTTGTTCGGCTGATAAATTGGAACACGGTGGGACACTGATTGAATCTCGGTATCTAGTCTGTGGAAAAGACATAGATACCCCCTCTCTCTCTCTCTCTCTCTCCTTATTATTATCATTGAAAATACAAAAGTTTAGTTCAAATCAAATCCTAACATAAAAAGTTATAAGACGAAATAGATTCAAATTAGATTCAATACCTGCCCATGGCATCATAAGTGCCGGCAAGATTACTATAAACCCCAAGTGTGTCAGGATGGTGAGGCCCATACTCTGTCTCCAATATACCTCTCGCTTCTTCAAAAAGATCAGCCGCTTCATTTATCGAGTGAATCTGAACACAAGCAAGCCCCATTTGATTCAAAGCAACACCAAAAAGCGCCGATTTCTTCTCCCCCACCGCCCTCAGCTTCCCAATCGCCGCCTTCAAACACCCATACGACTCCAAATACTTCCCCATCATATAATACAAAACCCCAATCTGAGCTTCAATTCCGGCCACCGTGCTCAACTGACCTACCGCCTTCCCGTACACCTTCAACGCCTTCTTCAGTAGATTAATTGCGTGATCGAGTTCATTCATCGACTCATAAATCGCCGAAACTTCAATCAAACCACTCGCGATTTCTTCTCTAGGGATTCCGGCGACTGGTTTCACGTAAATCCGTAACGCGTTTTCACAGTACGATTTCGATTCACGTAGTTTCCCGATTTTGTTGTAGACGTCGGCCAATCGGACGAAAACCGAAGCAACTGATGGATGATTATCGCCTTTTGTTGATTTGAAAAGATTAAGCGATTTCTGATACGAAAAAATCGCCTCGTCGTAACGAGACAATGATAAATAAGCGTCCCCGATGCAAACATCGATAGCAGCAACTTCTGTTTCGTGTCCATCTCCGGCCATGGCGACGCTCGCCAAAACGTAATGTTCGAGGGCGGTTTCGTAATCTCCCATCGCTTCACATATCAGCCCCATGAGCCGCCGGTCGGCGGCTTCTTCCGGTGAACCGTTTTTGTGTATATCAAGAGCCATTTGACATAACCGCTTAGCTTCATCGAACTGCATACCTTGTACATGAGCTTCCGCTACGTATCTACAAGTTTCACCAAATCGGGAATCGGATTCACCTAAAACTTGTCGTTGGATTTCTAAACCGGCGGTGTAACAAAGTATTGAATTCTCGATGTTTCCAATCATTGAATACGTATCGCCTAACTGCATACACCCTGCAAATTTAGCGAGAGAGTGTTTTTGACCTTGGTCCATGTTTGGGATTTCGATTGAACGTTCTAACAAAGGAATGGCGTCGGTGTAACGTCCAGAACTGCAATTCAAAGCTGCTACGATGTGCAAACACATGACGACTTCCAAATTTGGTGTCTCAGATTGGATGCTTTCGAATGATTTCAATGCTCGTTGAGCCAATTCAAAAGCCCTTTTCGGGTTATCACCTGATGACAACAAGTCTCGCGCTTGTTTGAGTAAATAAGTCCCGAGGTACGCTGGATCTTCGTTGGGTGAAATTTTTTCTTGTTTTTTGAGATTTATCCTCGATGGAATCCTCTTACGAGAAGGAAGTCGGTTTTTTGGAGTTGAAGACTGTTCAGATTTTGGGATGTTTACAGTCGTGTTGCTGTCGTTTGATGTTTCTTTCGCTTCTTTTTCATCGATTGTGACGACTGTCTCTTTTGTAGCACCGCCGTCTGGTTTCATAAAGTCTCCTCCGGCGAGAAAGCGGAGCTCGGAATCTATTCGCGATTCTTGACCATATGATAAGTAACTGAACCTGGAAGGTGACTGGTCGGAGCTTTGCATTTCACAGACGTTGTTATAGAGCTGTTCAATGGAGGTGTCGACGCCGCCGGGACTGTCAACGGATAAACCCATTGAATCGCTCTCCGGGCTGAGTGTCGTCAATGGGCTTCTCGGCGATGAGTAGCCGAAAAGCTCTTTGTGTGGGACATATCCTCCGGTTTGTATGTTATCGCCGGCCGGATTTGAGGTTGAAACGTCGGCGACAATTTCAGGCATTTTGAACAGCTTTGATTTGAATTACACGGTGGTATTCTCACAGAAGCAAATGATCGAACACCTGGTCTGCATAGGAATATGACAGCAGATAGCCATATCCATGGAAGCAATCAAAAATAGAAAAAAAAAATATACTTTTATAAAATAAAATAATTATTTTAACAATTTCTAAAAATTTTGTATTGGAGCTACAAAAGTTGTAGAAATATAATAATATTTTTAAACTGAAAAGGATATTCATGAAACACAAAATTTTCTACTAAAACGTGTGCTCCACTTTTGAGTGTGAAATAATCATGGTATGAAAAATAAAGAATATTAAAAAAGGGAATAACTAGAGTAACATTTAATGAATGTTTCATAAAATTCTAAATGGAAATTAATGTCGACTTTAGTTCTTTTTACTCAAAGGTTTAATATTCTCTTCGCCCAAAAATTTAAAATATTGAATCACAATAAAAGAATACAAAACTTAAGAATCACAAAACGTAAAATTCAATGCATAATGAGATAAGGTAATATATTGTCGTAAAATTTGGATCACTTGGATTTGATAGCATATAAAACCGATAATCTCTATTTTCTTTAATATATAAATAAGTTTTCTTTTTTATCAAATACTTAATTTAAAAAATCTGTTATATATTTTTATTTAACAGCCACATATTATTAAAAGAACTAGCTAAGAAACTAAAAAGAAAAACCAATTAGAAATTGTCAAAAAAAAAACTATATGAACACAAATTTTACGCAAAATATTAGCATACATTTACGTGTATTCCTTTTAAACAAAATATTCTTTGTTATTTTTAACCTAAAGTAGCAATATGTTTTCGATAATATAAAAAGTCTTAAATTGAAACGAAAAAACAAAAAGAATAGAAAATAGTATTGCAGAAATGAAAAATAAACAAAAGTATTCTGATTTTATATCATTATATTATGCAGTTAACATTAAACATTATTACAAAAACGATATTATATCCATAATAATCTAATTTTTCTGAATAGAAAAGATTTAGACATACAGTTCATTTTGAATCATGATTATAACCTAAATTAGTTCTATTTTTTGTGTAATTGAATCACGATTATAATATCAAAAAAAAAAACTAATAAACAAACATTCATCAATGAAGAACATCGAAGAACAAAAAATCTTATTCGAAATTGACAATCTTGGAATAATCGAAAATGAGCGGGAGAATTTATCACTTACCTCGATAAGCTCGAAGCAAAATCAACCGAATCGTTTCTGTGAGTGTGATTTATGAACAAGAGGAAGAACAGAGAAAGGGGAAGAACTGAAAGATGTGTGTTTGACTCCTTGTAGGTGGAGTGTGTGTGTGTTTATATAGAGAAAAAGATGAAGGTAAACGCCGATTGATGAACAGAGAAAAGGTGGTTGATGAAGAAGATAAGAAGCAAAAATGGAATCAAAACTAAAATAATTCTGATGAATGATATATGTATAATTTAAGGTATGTCTGTGGGTGATGTGTTGGTAGATATAAATATATATGTATGTATAAGTGGAAATGTGCAGAGAGAATTAATGGGAGAAGAAATATGTGAAAAAGAAAAATGGAGGTGGAGAGAGATGGAATGTTACAAGCGAAGGGGACTTATTATCTCACACCAACACCGCCCTCTCAGCAACCGCAACGCTCCCTCCCTCGCCCTTTCTCCATCTTGTTACTTGGCATGTCATTTTTGATTGTGCTTTTTTAGTTTACACTCTCCCATCAATATTTAATTTAATAATAATAATAATAATAATAATAATAATAATAATGTATTTTGAATTAATTTTATATTAAAAATTGTAATTTTATTTACAATAATAATTGTTTTCAATTTTAACAAATTTAAGAGGAAGTTTTAATTTGTTTTTGTTAAGGTTGAATCATTATATTTGTTAACCATAAAAAAATATACATTAATTATGAAAATAAGAGTGTGAGATGTCGTTACCGTACAAGGCATATATATTTAGCAACAGGGCCGGTCCAGACGGTGGACAGCCCCAGCGACCGCCCAGGGCCCATGTGTCCAGGGGCCTAAAATTTCTTGGCTATGTAGTGTATATATATAAAAAAAATTATTATCTAAATGATTTTTATGGCCTAAAGTTGGTTCAAACTCAAACTAGCTTAAAAGATAAACAATTTGGTTTGTTTATTATTGTTAATTGAATGCATTTATAGTAAAAAATAAATAATATTTTTTTAAAATCTTTATTATATTTGTCTGTAAGGGGTCCTTTTTTTCTTTTCAATCTGGCTTTCAAATACGTTTGGATCGGCCCTACTCAGCAGGTACCATTGCATATGACAATTAGTATAAATGAAGAATTTATCGTCACTAGAGTTATATGGGAATATTTTGTCGATCCACTCATAAAGCTATTGTCACAACCCAAGTATCATTGTCATACTAGGTTGAAAGACATTAGTTTTACAAATCATTTGGCTTGAATGTGTTTAATTTAGTTTGATCTTATGTGGGAACTTATAAATTGTAAATTTTTATGTGATTTGATGATTATTAAGTGGATATCATAATGTGTGGGAGAAAGTCATTTCATTAATTCACTATTATATTGCATTTGCATGTTTAACCAAATTTTACAACATTAATTTATTTAAGATTATCATGATATATTAGTATATTCTTCATGGAGATGGACATAGTATGGAGATGCGACTAATACTCATGTGTATTTAATGGAGATTAAGTATTGGAGTAACTCATACTTAGAGATTACTTCATCGGAACTGTTACGAGTAATTCTAAGATAACAATATCATATATATTCTTCAAACGGAGATGAAGGGATTCTTAGTCATGCAGTTTGTTGTGCTTTGGTGCTCTTAATGTGTCCATAACTAACATTCAAACAAGGAGTGTCTGGTTTGTGACATGATGAGTGAGTGATATCGTCCATGTATTCAAAGTTTATGTGTTCCTTCTACCCTAACATGAGAAGTGATATCGTTGGACCCCTCGATGATTTGGTACCGACTTCAAATGTATGGCTATACTCAAACTAAGTTAATAATAGATCAATCGTGTAGTATGTTGTGGGTCATCACAAAACCCAATCGGGAAACATAGTCTTGAATATTTGATTGAAAATTTTCCATGTCTTACGTTTATATATGGATATCACATAACAAAGGAATATTTATCACTTAGTACTATCCATACCTCTCGGTTATGAGTACATCTATAGTCCTAGACGACGTACACCTTTCTAAGCTAAGGAAGGTAGGATTATATAGTTCTTGTAACATGTGCAAATTGAAGATGGTTGGAAATATGCATATGGTCACAACAAGTTAGTGGCTTTTCATAATTAGTATAGTCCTTTTGGGTTACACACAAGACACGATTTAAGCATTAGATGAAAAAAGAGGCAAATTATAGACTAGTTCGTTAAATTATGGCATTAATTGGAAAATAAAATAATTAAGGGTCTTAAGTGTAGCTACCCCGGTTTAAATTAGTAGTATTTATCCCTTAAATAAAGATATATATATAAAGATATATATATATATATATATATATATATATATATATATATATATATATATATATATATATATATATATATATATAATAAGGGATAATACTTAGAATAAAAATCAACGCTAATGTCTGATCATATGATGAAATGGTTTCTTCCTCTTTTTTCCCTTTAAACTTCATGGTTCTTCAAGACCTCTGGATTCTCCCTCTCATGGATAGGGTTTTGGAGTTTTTTTTGTTGTTGTCTAGTTTCTTAGTCATCGTTCTTAGGTTCCATCACTACCGAAGTTCTCATTCGGGCTCTAAATCATCCAAGACAAGATAAATACGGCTTTTTTAGTTCAACAAGAAGGTATGCTTCAATTTATATCTTTTTAGTTAATTATGTTATTAAAAAGTTGCTAGAATGAGATCCATAGTAGATCATGAAGATCAATTCATAACTTTAATGATTTTGTTGTTTTGTGCTCCTATGATCATCATATCCCAACAATAGTGACCATGTTTGTAAAAAAAATTGCATGAACTAAAATTGTGACATTTTATAAACCATAAGGACCACTTATGTAATTTTATCGAGTTTTTATGGTGTAATTAAAGATAATAATTATAGTTATAGTGAATGATGAAATGGATTTAAACATGAATGAGACTTAGGTTGTATTTGATTTATATAGTGGACATAAAGCCTATTGGTTATAAATGGGTTTACAAGTAGAAATCAACCATGGAAATTAAGATATAAGTGATACAAGTGTAGAAATCAACTAGGGAAATTAAGATATAAGTGATACAAGTGATGGGATATATATTCATGTATAAAACCTAATTATTTTAAGAGTTATAACTGGTTGATATATATATATATATATATATATATATATATATATATATATATATATATATATATATATATCACTGTTGTAAAAATCCCGACTAGGTCGCGATTAATCTCCGATTAATCTCTAGGCTCTACTCAACCGATTAGAGTGTCACACCCCCGAACCAGACGGCGGAAACGTCCGATGGCTGTTGTGACTTAATTGAATATCATCACAGTGAATATACATGAAACATAACATCATTCATCACCATGCATTGGAATAGTACAACTAGTAGTGTTTGCATTTAGTACATTGTTTCAAACATTACATTCCCAAAAAGTAGATTGATCGATACTAGTTAAACAAACAACAAGATATCACTGAGTACATTTTCCCTTCGATTTACCTGTTACCTGAGAATACAAGCATTTTGAAAAACATCAACATATGAAATGTTGGTGAGTTCATAAGTAATGTTTGAAATATAATGTTTTGTATTCTTTTGAAAACCACCAGAAAATCCGATATTTTCTGAAAAGAGTATTGTATAAAAAGTGTGAAGATCCGTAAGTATGCTTGTTTGTTTCTATAAATGTAAAAAGAATTGTTATACTTGGTATGCATCTCGTAGGTGTATGAATTGAAAACCCTAGGAAAACCCGATGTTTTCCTAATACTTTGAATTACGCATTTTACATGGTTGTTATACCGTTGCGACGTGTGTATTCGATAATTCCAGGTGACATCGGATTAATTATGGGTTGTGAATTGTTATAAACACGCATTAATGAAAATGACTAGTTTACAACTATACAAACAATCCCTTAGGCGTCGTCTATACTATTCACTTAATCCAACCACCCTAACTTCTCATAGCCCCACAACTGAGGAGAAAAGAGGGTGCGAAGCCCCCAATATTTCCATAAATTGTTCAAGGCTATCGTGAATGCGAAGGGACCTTGGCCCGACTCGCATTTGTGAATTCTCGACTTTACTAGTAGTACCAAAGGACCCTTGGGGACCAACAGCACAAAATCCATTGAAAGTCCTTTTACACGGAATTAGGTCATATAAGACCCAACAACATGTAAGTGAGTTTATTTCGGGCCTAAAGATCATGTCATTGGGCTAGCTAGGCCCAACAAGCACGATTTGAAACTTTCGGGCCCAGAGATGGTGTATCAACGTCTGGTGTATTCCCCCGTATGTATTGACTTCCCGAAATTTCTATGTGTGTATTGAAGTATCGTCGCGTTATTAATTTTGGATTTGTTGTTGATTCGAGACCGAATGAGTTCGTTTTATAACGATTTTGGTGTTGAAGGTGTATTATATTTCGCCGGTAGTCATGGTACTAGTATTTTATCATAACAGATTTATTGTTTAAAAACACTAGAATTTTCCTATTTGCAACCCCTTTCTTTTGGATAAATTACAATATTGGCCCTTTGTATAATAGAATTTCCATTTTAGTCCTTAAACTATTTTTCTTGACACTTTAGTATCAAAACTTGTTGAAAAGGTATTTTTCAGCTCAAATTTATTTGAAAAATAGTTTTAGTCCCTCAAAATGAAGTTTTCTCGGCTGAAACCTCATTTTTCGCAATTTTTACACTTTTGGCCCACAATAGAAATTTTTTGCATCTTTGGTCCTTTTATAAATGAAAAGCATTTTTGACCCTTGAAATGGACTTGGAGCACTAGTAGTCCCCTGTTTTCCAGAAAAGTACAGTTTCAGCCCCTGAATTTTGAAAATCTCGCAATTTGGGCTTTATTGGGCCGAAAAGTTCATTTTTGGCCCATTATGCTTAAAATTTTACATTTTAATCCTTCAAAAGAGTATATTTCCATAAAAGACTTTGTTGAAACTGTTTTGTCCCATCTCAACCATCAGAATTCATATTTTGTCATTTTGGGCCCTTTAATTTTATATTTTTTTAACATTTTGAGTCCAAAAATGGGTTTTTAGTCCAAAGAAGTTCATATTAACCACTTGGTTATTTTTTTAGAAATGATTTGTATGTAATAATATCATTTATACTAATTTCATACAACCTAATGTAAATCTCGGTTTTAAGGACTTTTTGACTAGATTCAACACCACAATCACATAAGAACATAAATATAAACATAGAAATCACACAAAGCATACATATACACATAGATCTACACATTTGCTTGTATTCCCCCCCCCCCCACAAAACTTATAAAACCGAAAAATAGGAGGTATGAAGCTCACCTTGAGTTGGGTTTCGTTTTTGAAGGAGTTTGGAAGAAGTTTGATGTTGTTTTCG